CTCATTATAACAATTAGTAGATTGTGTATTTAATATCTTCAATGTCAGGAAGTATGCATTAAATGATTATAAAGTGAATTATTACTATAATGGAATTTCAAACTATAAAACACTATTTAGAGTAAAAAAAAACCACTTTTCTATGAATAAATTAATATGAAAGAAAGAGAATGTGTCTTACCATTTGTTTGTAATTAAAAATAAATGCAGAAACTTCGGATTTAAATCCGAGAGTTATGTGTACTTCAAAAAGTGAATGAGACAGATGAGTCGTTCTAGAATATAGGGATATAAAAATTATTCTGGCAAACCTTATCTATAAACACTTGATTTCTATTGGCTACTGCTCAACCAATAGGATTTGGGGATGAATACAGCTCAGATTTGAACTCTTCACCTTGGTTTACCCTAAGAAAGTCGTTTTTCCTATAACTTCATTTCTATTGGTTACTGTTCAACCAATGGGATTTCGAGGCGAATAGAGCACAGATTCGAGTTCTCCACCCCAGAAAACCTCGAACTATCATCTCTGTGATCGAAAGATAGAGCTCTATTTGTGGATCAATTAGAGCGTGACAAAAACAGAACCGAATTCCGATTAATTATCTTTGCAATAGCTGAGTTGGCTTTCTTGTTTCCTTATGTTTTATATACCATTTTGTAGCTCGTAAAATTCTCTATCGAATGGTATATAATAGTTGGGGTTTTAGTTGATTATGATAAGAAAAGTCTTTTACGAAAGTGGGGATGGGTCGATTTTTCCATAGGGAAGGTGCAGGGAAAAATGAGTATTTTTGCAATAACTCAGGAAGGGCTTGGCCAATCCTTCTCATCTTCGAACTCGACCGAGATATTGTTAAGACTGAACTGTGTAGAAAATTTCATCGCGATCGGACTCTCCTTTCGAAAGTTATCGTGTTAACGGCCGGACGGACATACTGACCGATTCTAGAGTGTACTCACTTTTTGAGTACACAATGAATACTAAAAATTTACAATAGTATCTGAATACATTTAATTAGTTCCAAGGATATTCATGGTGTAGATGTTTCATGATATATCAATGTGACAAATGTCCTCATCCTCAGGGACGCTTATTATTGTAATATGTTTACAAAGCGGATACGTAAAATAACAAAGAGAAGTAAAATCTCTTAGAATAAATTAATTTTTTGGCTGTTATGTCTGCTATTGAATTGCATAATATAAAGGAAAGTGCCAAAGGCAAAACTATTATTTAAGCATACTTGGTAAGATTTTTTTTTTGTACTCTAATCACCAAATTATGACTCTAAAAAAAAATATATATATATATATAAGCAGCATTTTTATTAGCTCTTGTATTATGCAATGCCTTTCGTAATTATATATCCGAATTTAGTATCTTAAACCTTAAATGTCGAGTAATTGCCATTCAAATATATTTTACTTATTATATTGTCACAGATTATTTTTATCGAATGATTTTTGTCTAGGTCATTTTTTAGAAGAAGAAAAAAAATTTTTTAATTGTATATATGTGTCATCATTAGAGAATGAAAGTATGTTAAAAGTGTCAAAAATTATTTTATTCAACATCAAAATGAATTATTCATATCCTTGAAATGATTAAAAAAGGCAACAATACTTTTTCTTTTTTTTTTTTACTTTCAAAGGAAACTTGTAAAGATAAAAAAAAATACATTGAAATCTAAAAATATGCAATGCTGTTCATAAGTGTAATATTTTCAAACATGATAATTTTAAGTTTTGTTTATTATTAAAATAAAACACAAGACTAAGTTAAATATGATTAAAAACAATAAATCTCGCATTTTTTCTTATCCAAAAAGTTGTTAAATATGTTGATATAATTCCTAGAATGATCATTTGATAGCAAGTTAAACTCTATTCCATTTTTAGCAGTATTTATCAATATGAAGGATTAAGAAGCCTGCGATTTCTGTTTGATATACCTGCTGTCATTTATTTATTTTCATCGTAGTATATAGAAATTCACAAACTGAATCATTCTTGTTTACAACAAGCAATTCCATTGTTTTGTATATTCTATTTTCGTTGGGATTCTTTTTATGGTCTCAGCATATTGATTGATAAAAATAAAAAATCGAGATACGTTAACATACTCGTTTATTTTTAGCTGAGTTAAGAAAAAAAAGCTGAAATAATTGTTTGTTTGCTTGAGATAAAATACTTTCTAAAGTGAATAGTTATGTTAACAGACTACAGAAAAACGTTCAACAAGTAATTGAATAACAACAAAAGAGAAGACTCGTTGACTACAAATAGACATAAATATTAAAAAAAAAATTCATTGTTTATTTTTTCTCTTCTTCTTCATTCAAATTCATTCTCATTGCCATTATTTATTTGCTTTTACTGTCAATATCGGCTTTTAATTGATCAACATTGGCACCAACAAGTCGATGAATTTCTTTTCCATCTTTAATAAAAACAAATGTTGGCATTGCTTCAATATTATATTCTTGTGAAACAGCTTCAGCTTGATCAACATCACATTTAAGAAAAATGACTTTATCTTTATATTCACCTGCACTCCAATCTTCAATTTTTGGTGCTACACGTACACATGGTCCACACCATCTAATTAATAAACATACATATACATATATATATATATTTCTTATTATAAACTTTTAATAAATACTTACGTTGCAAAGAAATCCAACACAATTAATTTACCTTTATTTTTTTCATTGTTTATTTCAGCTTGAAGTTCTTCAACTGTTGTAATAGCACGTACCATGTTTTATGGAATTAATGTTAATATCAAACAACAAAAATCTATAAAAAAATCTGGATTAAATAGAAATAAATATAAAGCAAAAACAAAGAATGTAATTAACATTTGTAATCTAAAATAACAATTTTTCTCGTGCTTTCGATTGCCCCAGCAAAAAAAGATTGACGGGTAACACTAGTCATTCGCTTTTTCTTTCCTTCTAAGTTAAACAACATAGCCATTTTTGAAGGAAGAGAAATTCTATTGATAACGAGAGAAAATAAAAAAAACAAATCTATGTGTAATAAGAACCGAAAGAAATGCATGAATAATATCTGTCTTTGTTGGTATGACGTGGAGATACTTCTATAGTCAACTACGATTAACAATAATATGTACCAATGAATAATAATTTTTATAGTGCTGGTCTACCACTATCATTTCCCGACCCATGTTTTTTTTTTATGTTTGCAACATA